TTTTTTTTTTCATTTGAACAAAAGTCCCTTTGAAGTATTTACAAAAACACTTACTGTATACAAAACGTGTTAATGACGTCAAACTGTGAAACTTTGACTGGCACAGCGTATAAATATTTATTGTATAGACTTGACATTTTTTTTTTTTTACTTTCCTAAGAATAAAAACGGTTCAAACGAGAACAGATAAAATAAATGTTGAGCATCTGTACCAACAATTCTTTTTCTGTAAACATCGGTTACAAACAGTAAAGTTTGTTACAGGGTCACTCGTAATAATTTATATAGTACCCAACTGTATCCTAAGCATTATAACTTTTTATATGATCTCACTGTATTAGCTACATTAGTTGCTGGGTTAGTTTTTAGTTCTGATTGGTCAGAAGTTAAGGGTACTTATATAAAGAGGTTTGATCATAATTTTTTTCTGTTAGCACCGACTTCTGTTATTAAATTACGCTTAGCAAAGTATCTTTCAATGTGAATTCTATATTCATTTTGTAGACTGACTGCACATTGACAAATCATTAGCATTTCAAATTAAGATTACTTGTTAAGGGCATTCGAAATAAGTCGAGACGCTCATTTTCCATTCCAAAAATGTTTTAACTTTATTTTGTTCGTGGTGGTTAACAAATCCCGTGCCATGCGTGATCAGACGAGAACTGCAGTTTCGAGCTGTACCAGCTTTCATCAGCCCAGCTATAGACTATGTCAGTGATGGATAATGCTATCCAAATGAGTTCTATTTGTAGCTACGTGTGAATTATAGCTTGGTGTATATTTTGCTTATGTTAATTAAAATGTAACTCGAAAGTGAGTTAACCTGAAAGGACACTTTCGCTAAAAATGAGTGAAAAAAAAAAAAAACGTAACACTTTTGATGAAGTTTGCTGATCATCGAACTTATCAGGAAGACATGAGCTTAATGCTACCACCCACCCCACCCCCCGAAACTAATGAAAATCGAGCTGTGGTGGTGATTGCTGGAGCGCTACATACGATAACGAGCCATTATATAAATACACAGATGAAGACCGTGGGAGACCAAGTCTTGACATTGACTCTTGAAAACAACTCGCACAAGGACGTATACCCGGAGAAGATCACAAATAGATAGAGAGAAGCTGTCAGCATGCAAGACTCTTTCTATTTGTCACCTAACCGATGAGACGTCAGGCATGTAAAAATGTTTTTGTCGTTGTTTTTACAATCAGATTCGTCGTTGTACGTCTTTAAGCAGTTCTTTTAAAAAACTTGTAAGGAAAATGTGTTCTGTATCGTTCTTTAGGAAGTATTGACGTTTATTTCAATTATGGCATACTGAAAAACCTACACAGAATTTACACGTCATAGTCAGCAGAGCAGTGCGCGGGAATTTAGTTTTCACCACTATTATTGGGGAGGGGGGCACGTTAAACACACACACACGTATTATACATATATATTTATAGGAACCATATCACCACTGGTATATACGTTATGTGCATAGAAATAAAGAGCATTGCACTCACCAAAATGACCGAGTTCATATGCATAGAGTTATTGACGAGGGGGACCCTCCCCCTTCACCTGCATGCATCTGATAATCAGTAAAATAGCACAAAAAACGTAAAAGACTAGTGAGAAGTAATTATTATTCCATACTATGGGTTAAAATGTTGTAATTACTAAAATCAGAACTTGTCTACTGTAAAATGAAACGTTGTAATTACTAAAATCAGGACTTGTCTGCTGTAAAATGGAATGTTGTAATTACTAAAATCAGAACTTGTCTACTGTAAAATGGAATGTTGTAATTACTAAAATCTGAACTTCTCTACTGTAAAATGAAACTTTGTAATTACTAAAATCAGGACTTGTCTACTGTAAAATGAAACTTTGTAATTACTAAAATCTGAACTTCTCTACTGTAAAATGAAACTTTGTAATTACTAAAATCAGGACTTGTCTACTGTAAAATGAAACGTTGTAATTACTAAAATCAGAACTTGTCTACTGTAAAATGAAACGTTGTAATTACTAAAATCAGATATTGCTACTGTAAAATGAAACGTTGTAATTACTAAAATCAGAACTTGTCTACTGTAAAATGAAACTTTGTAATTACTAAAATCTGAACTTGTCTACTGTAAAATGAAACTGTTGTAATTACTAAAATCAGAACTTGTCTACTGTAAAATGAAACGTTGTAATTACTAAAATCAGAACTTGCCTACTGTAAAATGAAACGTTGTAATTACAAAAATTTAGAACTTGTCAACTGTAAAAATTGCTGTTATTGTATTTTGGAATTCATTATTCACTTCAGTAAGTTCCTCACTAAACATTATCCGTTTTAATGTAAACTTGAATTTCGAAATCTAATATCATTACAGTTTAGTTTAGTTGAAAATTACGAAAGCACGCTCTGAAATTTAAGAAATTTTTGTTTCGAAAAACATTTATTTATCCCTTAACTAAACTTCAGTTATAAACTAAAACATATTATCGTAATTTCTAATCAAACCTATATACTATTAAATTAATTACGGTTTTAAAACTGTTTGATTGGTTCTGCTAAGTAATTCTTGGTTAAGGTTTGTTTGTTTGTAGTTAAGCATAAAGCTACACAATGGGCTATCTGTGCTCTGCCCACCACGAGTATCGAACCCGGTTTCCAGCGTTGTAAGTCCGTAGACATACTACGCTAGAATCCGGGTTTCGATACCCCTGGTGGGCAGAGCACAGATAGCCCAATGTGTTGCGTTGTGCTGAGCTTCAAACAAACAAACGAAATACTATTTACACACATCATATGTCAATATATAATCAGGATGTTAGGAAAATATGTAGGTTCAAAAAAAAACAATTAAAAAGCAAAAAATAAGAAACCCTATAACCCGGGCGTTTTTGAAGGGGCAACCTTTCCTCACCAGGGAAAACCGGGAATGACCAAGTTAATAGGAAAAAGATCTAACTTTCAAAAACGTTTGGGTTATAGGGTTTAGTGTTTTTGTCCATATGTAAACGTTATTTCCTTGATATAAATTCTACGTGTGAAACTGTCACGTAACTTAAATATTATCTAACAAAACAATAACGTGAGTAATATAACATTCAGTGCAATATTCAGGACCATCTCCATAAGAGATTTATACACTGTCCCCCGGTGTTTCACCGGTAAGTCTGAGGCCTTATAAAGCTAAAAATCTGGTTTCGATACCCGTGGTGGGCAGAACACAGATAGCCCATCGTGTAGCTCTGTACTTTACAACAAACAAATTTATGCACTGAATAATAACGTTTTCTTTAGTTCTCTGATTTTCTATGTCCCCCCTTTATATAAATGCACTGACCTAATTAAATTTAACCATTAAAAATTCAAAATTTAGCCTAGTTCACAACTTTCTACATCCAACACAACTCAGTTGAATTTCACACCCGTATCTATGGTCGTGTAATGTACCGCTGTTTCTGTTTCCATGTTGGCTCACCGAGTGTATATCGATAAATACATGTTCCAGATACAACTGTCAGAGTACCAACTTACGAGGCTATTGCAGTGTCTTTTTACGCTGTTTTAATTCCATCTCTTATTGAAAAACAGATTTGTTGATGTGGTCTTTCGCGGTTATAAAAATTCAGCAGAATATTACAACGGTAATATCGATTTCATGTAAACCAGAAACGCTTACTGGAATTGATGGTTTGATTTTGTAATAAATACATCCATAATTTACTGTTAAAGAAACCGCATGCTTACCTCTTTTGTTATTGTCGTAAGTTTAAAATGCAGACTTCTCCAAATCCAAAAGTGAGTTTTTTTAAGTACTTACATGTTTTTTAAGATTCTGTTGTAAGTCAAGACTTATTTGTTTTTTATATGACGCTGGTTTTTTTTTTTTTTTGCTATGCTGGAAACAATTTAACCGTGTGGAAGAGAATCCTAGAGGAACCTTTCCCAATCAACTGCTTATTATTTAATTGTGCTTGACACAGGCCTTTATTTTTTATTGATTTCACAGTAATATGTTTTCATAATATAAACACTGAAATAATTCCTACACTCAAAATTTTATTATAACTGCATCCAATACTTATAGAGGGCTGTTGTCTTTGTTGAATTTTGCACAAAGCTACTCGAGGGCTATCTGCACTAGCCGTCCCTAATTTTGAGGTGATAGACTAGAGGAAAGGGAGCTTACCAACATCACCCATCGTCAACTTTGGTTACTCTAATCGAATAGTAGTATTTGACCGTCACTCTTATAACGCACCCACGGCCCAAAAGTGCGGAACGTGATTTATTTTTGGCCATAACGGAGTACAAACCATGGAACCTCAGATCAACAGTCCGACACACTAACCGCTTGACCGTGCTTGGCCCAAGGCTAACCAAAGCAGAAAATATCAACTTAACCAATCTGTTAAGTCGTACAAGAATGATTAAATGGGATTCTCGTTAAAGTTCACAAATTGAGGTTACATATAAAGATTTTAAAAAATTACAAAACTCATAATGTACGTTAAATTGACTAAAAACGCTAATTGTTTGTTGTTGTTTTTTTATTTTCGCGCAAAGCTACACGAGGGCTATCTGCGCTAGCCGTCCCTAATTTAATAGTGTAAGACTAGAGGGAAGGCAGCTAGTCATCACCACCCACCGCCAACTCTTGGGCTACTCTTCTACCAACGAATAGTGGGATTGACCGTCACAATATAACACCCAAACGGCTGAAAGGGCGAGCATGTTTGTTATGACGGGGATTCAAACCCTGACCATGCCGGGCCAAAAAAACGTTAATAATGGATCACAACTCTATAAATTTGAGCAATGTGATATATTAGTAATAAAAAAAAGTTGTAATAATGGTAATTCTGCAGACTTACGACGCTAAAAATCAGGTTTCGATACTTGTGGTAGGCAAAGCACAGATAGCCCATTGTGTAGCTTAACAACAACCAGCCAAAGATACTACCGTTACTTTACTTGATATATTAATATTATTATTTTTCAGGGTCCTGGGCGACGATGAGAAGAAACCTTTCATTGATGAAGCTGAAAGACTGCGTTGCAAACACAAGAAAGACCACCCCGACTATAAATATCAACCAAGACGAAGAAAACCTCCAAAAAGTTCAGCATTCGCCACCTCTTCAACCTCTGTTTCAGAACCACCCCATTTACCAATAAAACACTTAACTTCTTCTATAAGTCATCGGAATAACATTGGAGCAGACACTTCAGAAAGTGACAATAGGTCATACGGCGCCCTCTACTCCGGTCGCAGTGCCGCTTATCCTCCACATCAGAGCCCACCAACACCACCTACGACACCCTATCATGGCGCCAGAATCCTTCACCACAGAAGTAGAGAAGACATAAATCCGCTAACTTCGGATGGGATCATACTCCAATCAAGCAGAGGTATTGAAATGCGTGCATTTTTGTTTCAGCATTGTTTACCATAATATAATTCTTGTTTTTTGTTTTTCTACAACAAACACCATGTTTTGATTTTTTTTTCGTTTACTTTGTGACGTGTAAAGATGACGTAGAACCTAATTAATTGCACACTGACGAACACAAATTCTGTAACTAGCTAAAGAGCGTACAGTTACAACCCTCAATGACCATGTAGCAGATATGGTGATCGAGAAAAAGTATCAGCGTAGGTTGTGTATGAAGGTTATTGAAATTGTTAACAAATTTATTATTCACTTCAACGCCTGATTAAATAGATTCACAGTGATGATAGGCTGTACATATTCTAAGATTGTACGTAAGTTAGGTGATTTATTTAATTTTGTTTTAAAGTACTATTGAGTTAGACCTAAATCCGAACTGACTAAATTTAAAAAGCTGTTGAGCTAGACATAAACCCAAACTGACCATCTATAGAATATTATAGAACTGGTTCTAAACCCGGACTGAGCAACTATAAAATATTATAGAGCTGATTCTAAACCCGAACTGAGCAACTATAAAATACGATAGAGGTAAACTTAAACCCGGACTGAGCAACGTAACTAACTAATAAAACGCATTGGTGTGTGAGAACGTTTGTGGGAAGCACGCTATACACATCTGTTTAAGCTTCGATGTTATATAAATGTTTGTACACAAAAATAGTAAACATACATAAACGTGTTTCATTATGATCTGAACACCCAAATTGCCAGTTGTCTGTTCGTTAAATGTTGGTGTTTCTGTTCTTCTCCTCGTAAATTATACTAAAATCATCATTAAAAAAAAGTAAATATATATATGTGTGCATTTCATTACTAAGATATGAATGTTTAATACGATTCAAGCCTTGTAAACGTAGGTATGTGTCTGCTATATTTCAATGTTCCTATTTTTAATTTATTTTTTATTTCTTGTGGTTCTCCTAATTAAAAAGAAGTTTTTATCACGAAAAGGATATTGTCACGCATGTGCTAAGTCTCTTACAGCCTTTCAGTTTATTATTTTGACTCCTAGGACCCTAATGTGACAACGTGAAGAAAGCTGTAGTGATATCTCTTGAGTTGTGATGTAAGCCTAACGATACAGAGGAAAATTAAGTTCCATAATGATGCGGTTATATAGGGCTCGATTTTCTCACAGAAGAAAAGCGGAGAGAAATAGTTCGTGCTTATTTTGCTAGCCCTATACATGACAGCGTAAAACTTTCATGAAATTTCGAAATCCAAAAGAAAAAAAATATTTCATTATAAGTTCCGGAATGAATTTCTGCTTTATTTTAGGTCTATAGTTTATCAACACTTTCCAATATTGAATTATAAATTCCGACATGAATTTCTGCTTCATTTTAGGCCCATAGTTTACCAACACTTTCCAATATTGAATTATAAATTCCGGCATGAATGTCTGCTTCATTTTAGGCCCATACTTTACCAACCTTTTCCAATATTGAATTGTAAGTTCTGGTATGAATTTCTGCTTCATTTTAGGCCCATACTTTACCAACCTTTTCCAATATTGAATTGTAAGTTCCGACATGAATTTCTGCTTCATTTTAGGCCCATACTTTACCAACCTTTTCCAACATTGAATTGTAAGTTCCGGCATGAATTTCTGTTTTATTTTAGGTCTATAGTTTATCAATCCTTTCCAATATTGATTTGTAAGTTCTGGCATGAATTTCTGCTTCATTTTAGGCCCATGCTTTACCAACCTTTTCCAATATTGAATTGTAAGTTCCGGCATGAATTTCTGCTTTACTTTAGGTCTACAGTCTACTAAACCTTTGCAACATTGAATTGTAAGTTCCGGCATGAATTTCTGTTTTATTTTAGGTCTATAGTTTATCAATCCTTTCCAATATTGAATTGTAAGATCTGGTATGAATTTCTGCTTCATATTAGGCCCATACTTTACCAACCTTTTCTAATATTGAATTGTAAGTTCCGGCATGAATTTCTGCTTTACTTTAGGTCTACAGTCTATTAATCCTTTGCAATGTTGAATTGTAAGATCTGGTATGAATTTCTGCTTCATATTAGGCCCATACTTTACCAACCTTTTCTAATATTGAATTGTAAGTTCCGGCATGAATTTCTGCTTCATTTTAGGCCCATACTTTACCAACCTTTTCCAATATTGAATTGTAAGTTCCGGCATAAGCGTGCGATTTTTACAATACTGACATTCTACAGATCGCATGACTATGAAAACTGTACACCTGTGAGACAGACATAAGCGTGCGATTTTCACAATACTGACATTCTACAGACTGCATGACTATGAAAACTTTACACCTGTGAGACAGACATAAGCGTGTGATTTTCACAATACTGACATTCTATAGATTGCATGACTATGAAAACTGTACGCCTGTGAGACAGACATAAGCGTGTGATTTTCACAATACTGACATTCTACAGATCGCATGACTATGAAAACTGTACACCTGTGAGACAGACATAAGCGTGCGATTTTCACAATACTGACATTCTATAGATCGCATGACTATGAAAACTGTACACCTGTGAGACAGACATAAGCGTGTGATTTTCATGGTATCGCCAGTCTACAGATTCACGCTTATGTCTGTCTCACAGGTGTACAGTTTTCATAGTCATGCCGATTTTCACAATACTGACATTCTACAGACTGCATGACTATGAAAACTGTACACCTGTGAGACAGACATAAGCGTGTGATTTTCATGGTATCGCCAGTCTACAGATGAATGACAATGAAAACTGTAAATCTATGAGACGTAAGAGTACAGTCTACAGTATAGTGATGAACTCATTGCACATAAAATGTTTTACAAGACGTGAAGTATTATTGAGAAACCGAACGAAATAGGAGTAACCATAAGATTATGAACTAGTTTAAATCCTCCTACAAAACGATAAGAAACGCTAAGTAACAGAGTTGTAACTTATTTTAAAATTAACACACTATTTGCCGTCTAATATTGCTTATATTTTCCCCAAGGTTCCACGCACGAAACAGTTAGCTTCCACTCAGGCACGGGTAATTCGATAGGAGTGCCATCTAGGGAGTCTCAGTGCAAATACGCAAGGGTAGAAGAATCACCGTCAAACCAAGTACCAACAGTAGGATCTCACGGAGCAGTTGACCCTTATGTTCACCTAGGCTTAGCTGGAACTCCTCAGTATCCTCACATCCCGCACGGAAACCTGACTATGCACGGAGCTGGAACCGGTGCTTCACCTACTCCACCTTGGGGCCGGTTTTCTTCCGATCAGTTCTCACAGGATCGTCTTCGGGTAAGCTGCTTATCTAGTGCGCACGTATCTCGTGATGATCACCACATGGTGAGCGAGGGCTTAATCGTGACCCCAAGTTGCAAAGAAGAAGGTCTAACGGGGGATCGAGGAGTAGGAAACCCGCCACTGGAACTTTATCGGACCCCCAATTATAGCACAGATTATTCCATTCGACGTTCAGGATCTACAGGCTTGATGGAATCAGATGGCTTCTCCCATTGCAGTAAAGCCTTCACAGCTCCATCAGCGTTGCTGGGAGTACAAAGCTACCCTATGTTTAGTCATGTAGTTTCTGGCTCCCAGGGGGAGCCACCACTGTTTGTGCCAGACAGCAGGCCACAGCTTGAAGCCACGAACTCGTGTGTTTACAGCTCAGGTCACGCGCTCGGTCATTTTCTCCAGCCCAGATAACAAGTTTACTTAATATATGTGTGTAGAAATTTTTTTATATATAGATATACATACGCCTCTTTCTTTAGATATAAATACCTCTCTATATAGATATACATAGATTACACAGTGTTTTGGTTTGAACTTTAACCAATGGTGTTGGTTTAAATCATTTATATGTTTTTAAATCAATAAACTGTTGATGCAGAGCCTTAAACCATACGTTTTATGATCATTTTGTGCTTGAATATGTTTCGTGGTGTCGATTTCATTTGCATAATGTAGTTATTACGAGAAAAGAGTATTCTGCAGCCTTTTTAAATAACCTGCAAACAAACACGCAAGTTAGATATTACTGCACGATATTAAAATAGTGCATACTTTAAAGTTATGGCATATGGTAATAACTGATCGTTTTTTTCCCCCTTTATGAAGAAAAAACTGATTATTTAACACTTGTCAAACTGCTTTCGAATATTTACGAAACATCCAGATGCATACGGAAAGACAATAGCATTTTCTTCCAAAGTGCCTGATGTATATAATGTTCGCTTTAATTATTCACATTAGAAAAAAAAAATGAATAAAATATGTAGCTGGTTTATATTTACCAAAAGTCACATAGGTAGAAATGGCTTAGTTAGAATGCCTCGTGCTGAATTTACGTAAAATTAATAAGATACACTAAAAAACAAATGATAAATATGATGCAAAACGTATTCGGGTTACCATACATTTTGTTTAGCACAAAGCAACACAATGTGCTATCTTTGCTTTGCCATCGCGGGTATCAAAACCCGAGTTTTAGTGTTGCGAGCCTTCAGATTTATCGCTGAGCCATCCGGGGCGTTAAAATACGTAATGATAAGTGTAGAGAAAGCTTGCTTTATCTAAAGTAATCAAAAGTAGGTAAAATCAAATGTTGTTTCCTTATTATTTTTCTTTTGTAATAATCATCTTTTATGTAAAAAAAAAACTTCTGATAAAACTAAGGTAAGATTCTGGGCATAAAGGCTGTTTATTAACTTTTATGAAAATTTATTTATTAAAGTATTTTCTTCCTTCGTTTTTAGGAATTTGAATCGTGGAAAAATTTAAAGTACCTGAGGTATCTTTATATTGTAATTATGGATTTTTCTGTTTTATGAAATGTTAAGAAACAAAGAAACAATTTTTTTCTATGAAACTCGAACTTTTTGTTTGCAAATCCTAAACTATTTATATAAAAAAATAAGTTTTCCCAGTTTTACAAACATTTCACATTGAAAAATTATACTAAGAAATTTGTGGTTTCAACAAAGCTTTCATTGAACAAAAGTATTTAATTTAAACTTTGCTTTGCAAAAGGAATGAACCACGTTGTATAGAAAGAAGTCGAATAGACACCTAACAACAAAATGTTTAAATCGCGAAGTATTAAATATTAAAAAAAAATTGCAATCAAAAGGGATCGTTTGTTGTAGTGGATACTGTATTCGTATTGTAGCTTGGCTGATAATTTTGAACAGTTGGGATGTTATAAAATCTTTAGAATTTTTTGTATTTTATTTTGATATCCGAAATGATTTAATATCTTGAAACGTTAGTAAATTTCCCTAGTTGCGGAACAACTAAAGTGTAGTCGTATTATTCAGTGACTAAAATGTTCAATAAAACAAGTAAAATCAATGTTAGAATGTTATTTAGCTTTATTGTTTTATTTGTGAGTTAACTTTGTTTCCCATTCTTATTTAATCATCACACAAAATTGGGTTATAAAATAAATAACATCATTTTATTACACCTATGTAGCGCTGCCAAACGATTTTCTTACGAAGCATTTTTATTTATCTGATGAAATGCCAAAATATTCATCACGTGAACTACCAGTTCGATATGTTTTATATACACTAGTTTCCCCATTATCTGCAAGAGTCGCTACCGCCATCTATTGAAAGATTTTTACAAATTAGTAGGTTTATTCTCATCGAGCGAAGAAAAGGAAGTGTGTGTGAGCTTGAATATTATACTTATGTTTTTATGTTAATATGTTGGAAACAAAATATATTATCTTCAATTTTCGTGTCTTATAAAAACTGGGAATGAATGACATAAGAGAGGATAAGTCCTAGATAACAGTACGTTGTTCAGCGATCGAGTAAGGTCAAGCAGATTATTACTGCTTTCTTCTTAGAACATAGTGTGTATTCATTGTAACATACTGGTTTGTTGTAGTTATTTCGTTTTAGTGATAACGTAGATTTAGATATGTGCTCTGCATAAATCAAAGGTGGATCATCTGTAGTTATACATGTTTGTGAAATGAAGGTTTTATTTGCAACGAGTAAAAGGAAAAACAATACCAAAAAAAAAACACATTATTTGAAACTAGGACGTTTCAGAAGAAAAATCGCGATGCTGTAAGATTACTGTAAACTAAATTAAATTTTCAAACTTAAAGCGAAAAAGCTTTGTCTTTTTATAAACCAATGATACCATTGTAAAAAATAATAAAAGTTGACAACTAATTAATGATTTCGCATTTATTATTGTATAAAATTTATTGAAGAAAATTACTGCTTAAATAATTTATTTGGGGAAGTGATGAGACCCTATAAGAATTGTTAAAAGTTTTCGATGTGTGTGTGTGTTTTTCCTCAGGTTTTAAAACCTGGGATGTATTAGTAATAAGTGTGAAGTGGAGCAATGTAGATGTACTTATCTTCTAGCTTTTCAAAGGAATTGAGTATTGTAAACAAAAAAAGTGCTAATAAAGTATGTTTAAGATTATATTGTGGCGTTCTTTTTTTAGGCATTACTTGAGTGATGTCTTTGCTCAATCAACATTATCAGAGTGAATCATAAATTAATATATATATATCGATGATGAAGAACCCACTTTGAGACCAATAATGCTTGGAGACGGCTTGAACGGGTAATGAAGAAAAACTTTAATATAAGTTTAACATAACAGCAATTTATATATACATGTCTTTTTAGCAATTATGACAGACTTTTTGATAAATTATTAAGAAATTGTTGTTGTTGTTTGTTATTAAGCACAAAGCTACACAAAGGGCTATCTGTGCTCTGCCCACCACGGGTATCGAAACCCGGTTTCTACCAGTATAAGTTCGCAGACATACCGCTGTGCCATTAAGAAATGGAGCCTCAACGTTTTTAAATTAATATACACATAAATATAAAACATCTAATTCAGGTTGCTATTAAATTTAATCTTCTCTGGTGAAATACTCTTTTCAAGGGACAAAATATCGGTGATAGTTCAAGAAGCAACCACTAGTCTTTTTATGTGTTCTGATAAGTTATACTCTATTCTTTCTGTAAGTTACTTTCATTAAAAGTATTGTTTGAATGGTTATTATATATATATATATATTATTATTGTTAATTTCTTATTATATTTTTATTATAAGGACATTTTTTGCATTGTTAGCTTAGTATATTTACTTAGGACCCAAAATCACCTAAGCTGGCCCAACCTCATGAAATATTATTAACATTACGACCTAAAATATACCTAACAGCTCGGTACTAAGTTGATGAAATAATGCATTTTAATAATTACAAGTAAGTTAGCTATCTTCATTACTGGGTTAATTTATAATTCTGATCTATGCCAGTAACTTGCTTTGATGAGAAGTTAATATTGATTAATTGACTGTTACCAAGCTGATAGCACATGATATAACGTGTTCATTTGAATTTGTACACTTGACTGTATGCAACGAAATTCTTTCAAACCAGGGGCTCCAAAACTTACTCAGAAGGGCTCCCAAACTTACTCAGTAATCGATGCCCCAGAACATTCTGCATCTTAGCTGAGCCCCCTCCCCCCACCCAAAGAAGTTATAGATACTGAGTACTTTAACAGTTTTGAGTATTTGTTACAGCCCCTCTGACACTTTCCTGCGTCTCCCAGTTCGGGAATCCCTGTTTTAAATAACTCTAAAATCCTGTATACATATTTGAGCCATTGCTTTATATCACCTCGAAATTACTAGTCAAGACAATTAACAACGTAAGTTCAAGTATTTTTGTAACGATTCTGTGTTCAACTGTGAAAATGTAACAGCGTATAATATATTTTAATGTCAGAAATAATAACGCGAGAATAAAATTCTTGTATTATTCTAATCTTTTTAACTTTTGAGAGCAGTATAATTCTTTCCTTTGTGATGAAAAACCTAATTTTTGAGGAAAACTAACCCCTTCAGTTATTGTATTTCTTTCTTTTTTAGGCCGCGAGTGGCTTAGTAATTAGTGTGGGCGAATGTGCCATTCTCAAGCAATTATCGCGGTTGGTTGTCACAGTTATAGCGCCCCCAAAACTGAAAGAACTAAGAGTGTTAATTGGCTGATATATATACATTGGCTTAAACCTAGGGCATTATGATCCGCATCCTGACTTGTTATTCACTAGGCCATTCTAAATCGCCAAGTGTTGAAATTTGTCATAAAACTAATAAAAAATAAAACATGATTGGATAACACAAAGGGCACAAACACACATAGAAATGGTAAAATATTGCGAGTAAAAGATACATATTGTGGGACATTTCTGGCTTCCGCTTATACTTAAATTTAAAATATTTTATCAGGATTTAGACTTTTTGTGAAAGAATCAGAAAAAAACTGATAGAAATATCCAGAGCCTAAAGTTTAAGTTAATGCTGCCTATACATGTTTTCCGTATTTCTTATCAACAGTTCACTTATTCGGCACCAACTCCATGATCGTACCGATACATATCACTTGGATTATTGATTATCACTTGATATCATATTCGTTTGAAAGCACTCTTCCAGATTTTTGTTTCTTTGGTTAGTTTTAAAGCATAAAACTACACAATGAGCTATCCGTGCTCTGCCCAACGCAGATATCGAAACCCAATTCTTAGCGTTGTAAGCCCTATTACTTACCGCTAAGCCACTGTGGGGTCTGTCTGAGATTCTCACCAATTTTCGTTGGTTACAAGATTATGAATTAAGTTCTACATTAATAGTAATGTTTATAATTACTGCTGGAGACTCCACCTGTCATCGTCGTAAACGTAGCCGTAGACTTCAAGTCATAATTTTCTCTTTTTGTAGAAAAAATAAATTCGAATCATTTAAGGAAACGAAAGCAAGTAAACAACGAACACCATCTAACAAGCCTAAATGTTGGTGATATTTGTCCTACTTTGTGAACGTTGTTAAAATTAAAATATAATGATTTAATGTTATTAAGCTTACCATTTTATATTAAATATTACTGAACTGTGGGAGTCGAGTTCAATGTGGCAGGATTAACCTTTCATTTATTTATCACTAACTTAAATAATGAAAAATTAGGAATTATTTTAAAATTTTGATATATGCGTCTAAGTTAATAGCTCACAAAATATGCAAAAAGAGCAAGATTTGTATATATTTTGACATAATCGTTAGCCGTTTTGCCGTCTGACCAGATTTTCTAGAAATGGCGGATTCTTAACAGTTGAAAATAAACAGTTTTTGAACTAACCAGTTGTCAAAGATGAACTCAGGAAGTAACATTTTTTATTAGAATAACTATAATTTGATATTGTAACTTTTCAAAATAAAAACATGTCATGGAGAAAAAAAAATGTCTGGATAAACTGCCCCAGAATATTCTTCTCCAGCTTCAGCAAAAGTATTACTAACTATTACTATTAGTACTGCTTATCAATATCAAGCAGTTCCTTCATTGCATACTCTAATCACTATATAATATATTAGCTTTTATAAAAATAGAATTGTTTAACAGTATATTGCCTGCCTCTTCCAAATCATAAACTTGTGTTCTTTCCGGCTATTTAATGAGGTACTTAAGCGTAAGACGTATTTTCAAGTGATACAGATAGAAAATGTTATATTATAAGTAATGTTTAAAACTGAACATTCATTATTGTAATACTGTGTCATACAAACATGCAGAGACTGCTTGCTTGAAGATAAGTTATAAAGATAGCTTTGGGTAGGATTGTGCTATTAGGAGAAGAGGGAATAGCAGAAATCATGTAGATTGGTAGTAGTAACTGAACCTAACTTTTGTACTACTAGGCACTCTTAAAATCAGCACATCTTTCCTTACCCTCATCTTTAAACCAACTTTAACCTATCTCTACTTTTGTAATATGTTTGAACCACTGGTTACTTGCAGTGAGGAAGGAGATGGTTAAGAGATATACATAGTGGGATATTTTTTAATCACATAAGTTGATAAAGCTATTCGTACACTTGTAGTGATGAGTAAGCATAAAAGAGCGGGACTAGAACTTGCTTATCTGTTACAGAAACTCGTGACATAATATAGGTTTGTTTGTTGACAATTTAGTTGGTGGTACCAAAGGGCATTTAGTTTCTGTAGTGCGTGTAGGAGTAAATGACGTTGGATGTTATAAATTAGAGAAGCTGTTTAAAAGTATAAAGAACTTCAGATGATTAGGGATAGAAATAGACACGTGGTGCCTTTGGGAGTGCTTCCTTGGGCCAGATGCAAGGATATATTGCTTAGAGTACAAGGCTTAAATGAGAGATTATCAAGGACATGTTTAGAAATGGGTGGGAAGGTTTTCAGGGTAATATTATGTTAGAGAACAGAAATAGACTCCTCCTAGTCTTAAGCAGGCTCATTAGGAAGATGTTTGAAGAAACGTAAGAAATTAATTAAAGATACTAAACTTGCATAATGGTGAGAAAGATACTGATAGGATGGTTGGGGCAATGATAAGATTGGAAAAGATTTAGAGTAAACGTTAAATAATAATTTTGAAGATAAGTCTTTCAGATTTAAAGATAAGCTTAGTTGCTGGTATTCTAATGTTAGGAGTACTAGGAACAAATGAATGAGTTTGGGACTCAAGTTGAAATTGAAGACTAGTTTTTTGAGACAGAGAAAGTTATGATTTAAGATATTCACAACTTTTGTATGTAAAACTAATTTTACTACTCTGTATATTATGCATATATACATATGTAGAAAATCCTTACATGCTCAATAGACTCTCCTCTATAATGTACCAAATGTTTCAAAAACTGCTAATTGTTTTATGAAATTCAATAATTGTTTTCATTTTTAAGGGACAAATCTCAATGGCTAGGTCTCAAAAGGATATAATAGAAATCACTGCAACTTGGTTAGACTTAAAGAACAATGATAATAGGTATTATTTTGATATTCCAGGTTATAAGTTATTTAATGGTGATAGACTTTATAGAAGAGGGGAATGGGAAGGTTCTATAAGTAATGGAAAACTGTATCTTGTAGGGAATGAAGACATAAAAAATGGTAGTTAAGAGGTTTGGTGAATCACTGTTATGATTGGGGGTTTAACAAGTAGAAAGTTTTTATGGGCAGCTGTTAAAGATGATTATATTAATGTGAAATTGTGTAAAGGGATCATAGTTGTTTCTGATAGGGATACTGAGGCTATAATTATATGAAACTAATTTTAGACTTATTGATTGGGATTGTATGGAGTCAAGTAATGATGGAGAGAGAGGTTTTATGAATTGATTTAGGATGGTTTTTCTGTACCAAATGATCAGAGAGCCAATCAGAAGGTATACAATTTTAGGTTCATTGTTAACTGCTAATGAAAATGTGGATACAACAAATTAGGGAACAGTGATCATTGCATGATTAGGTTTGGTGATTAAAAAAAATAAAAATTAGTTCCTAATTTTAAGAAAGCCAATTTTAACACCATGTGAAAATACCATTAATGAATTAGAACCTGTGTTAGAAGACTGGGAAATGTTTATAAATAAATTGCATTTAGTTCAAGATAGCCATGTTAGTGGAAAGAGGAAAAGGATAACAGGGAAATCCAAACCTAATCAGTTTACTAAAGACATAAAGGAGAAAATCAAAGATAAATGTAGTAACTCTAGGAGGCTTAAAATGGCAGACAGGAAGATATTCAAACTCGCAGGGAATCTAGGATTTGATTCAAAAATAAATAAGGAAATTCAAAGCAGTTAAGAGAGACAGGTGGTCTGAGCTGGCTGATAAAAGTTAAATAAAAAAGAAAGGATTTTTTTAAATACGCTGAAGTAATGAGCAAAATGCTGAAATGGGGACTGAGATTTTAAAGGAGGCTGATGGCAAGATTTTTGTCCTTGAGGGACATCATTGATGGGCTAATAAGCTCCTTTTTGTCCCTTTAAAATTTGATGAAATTTCATTCACTTTGGTTGATTTTCTTTTCCAATATCATTTCACAATTTTCCCCACTGCAAAAGTACGGCTAATTGGTCTATAATTTCCAGGGCAAAATTTTAAAAATTGAAGTAAACTTTAACTATACTCTGGTATGTGCACATTATCTAATGACCGATCAAAAATGAAAGGGCATCAATGGTATCTTTGACTGATCCTTTAAAACCCTGGGAAAAATACTGTGTGGTCCTGGTGCTTTCATTCTTTTCTTTTATTACTACCACAGTATTAATATCTACATGATTTACGTCAATCACAGTATTTCCCATAGAACATTTAAGGTCAGGGATATTTCTAGCATCCTCTTTCATAAAAAGAAAAGAGAACATTTAAAAGCTCAGCCATTTCCAGCTCCCTACAATAACCACTCCATACTACTCATGTATTCATCCAATCTTTTATTGAACTCAGTTAAATTTGCTGCTTCCACCACCCTTCAAGGCAGCTCATTCCAAAAGCCAACCACCCTGTTTGAAAAGTAATACTATCTAAACTGCATATGACTTATACATTGCCAAAATTTGAATTTATGCCCCCCCCCTTGTTCTATTGTTTTCACTGCTAAACACGAAAAGTTTGATGGATGTATATTATCAATACCCTTAATAATCTTAAACACTTCAATCAAATCCTCTCTGAACCTTCTCCTCTCCAGAGAAAACAAGGTTAAGAGATTGTAGTCTCTCCTCATAGGACAATCCCACCATCCCAGGTATCATCCTAGTGGCTCTTCTCTGAACCTTCTCCTCTCCAGAGAAAACAAGGTTAAGAGATTGTAGTCTCTCCTCATAGGACAATCCCACCATCCCAGGTATCATCCTAGTGGCTCTTCTCTGAACCTTCTCCAACAATTGAATGTCCTTCTTGAGGAAGGGAGCCCAAAACAAGTGATCTATACAGTGAAACAATAATATCCTTTTATCTTGTATTTAGTATTTCTGTAGATGCTACCCCAAATCCTATTAACTCTATTGCTAGCTACAGTACAATGTTTAGATGACTTACGTGATTTTTTAATCACAACACCTAAGTATTTTTCTTCAACCACAGTTTCCTTACTAATCTGTTAATTTTTCTTAAAGATATTACATGTTATCTGTATGATGGAAAAGATGTTTAGGTGGTGTACTTAAGCTTCCGAAGAGCTTTTGACATGATGCCAAGTAAGAAAATCACATTATTGGAAGTTGGATAAAAATGACTAAATTTGATTCTAGGATGGTTAGAACAGAGAAATCAATAAGTTGTTATTGATGGAGACCAGTCATATTAGACCTTTGTTACCAGTGGACTGCTTCAGGAGCCACTTTTTTGGACCTTTGCTTTTTCTTATTAAAAATTGGAAATATTGGTAGAGGCATAATTAGTAAAGTTTGCTGAAAAAATTAAAATATTGGGTATTTCTAGCTGTATGAGGATGTTGATGTATTACAGAATGACTTGGATCAGTTGGCCGGTGCCCGGTTAGCATGACAGATATCTGAGAAATTATCATTAGTTATAGCAAGAGTTACTGACAAATCTTGGAATGGTGGTGGCTGAGTGCCGTGTTGTCGGTAGAAAAGTTACTACAAATGAAGGTGTAGAAATCCGGATTGTAAGTCAAGAAAGGGTAATAACATATTAGAAATTATAAGACTCGTAGGACTAGGAGAGCTACTAGGATGATTCCAAGGATGGAAGAGATCGTACAGGGTTAGGTTAATATCAGTAAGAGGTGATACTATTGAAGTATACAAGATTATTCAGAGGCATGGGCACTGACAGAAGTATTTTAAAAGAAGGATAAAATATGTATGTAGGGGATCAGCTTTTACAGTGTAAGTCAACAGACTAAAATAATGTTTTGTGTGTGCTTGAATGCAAACAGAAACTTACAGTTTTAATAAAAATTACTAAAGATATGTAGTTTAATTATGATGTTCATTTTACATCGTAATATGTGCAATTTTTTGTGAAATGTAGGGGGGGTGAATGCCCTTTCTTGTGGGCACCCATGTTCAGAGAATCAATAAGATTAAAGTCTGATTTTTTTTTGCTATGTTCTGAAATTAATAGAACAAAAGGACCCAATGTAAGATTTGGAAAAGACAGGTTAGGTTCCAGTTAAGATAATTTTCTCATTCTATCAGATTGACTGGTGTATGGAATGAATTGAAAGTATAATGAGGCAAACACTGTATTAATAAAACTAAAGATTAATGCTGAATAAGATCATAATTGATAGTTTAGGTAGAACTACCCATAGCTGGTTAGAAATTTAAAAAATATTGAACTAATTTTTTGTTAAAAATAATTGGCATTAAGGTTTACTTATTAAGAAATGTGACATCTATGTTTTAATGACTTAATAACTCAATATGAAAAATATTTTATCATTATTCATATTTCTAACGTCAAGCTTATGCAGTTTCACTTTTGAAAATTGATGATAACATGTTCGTGACATTTAGCCACTAGAACTGATTCCTTCAATTACATAAGAGTATTGTGCTTTTGGAAAGAATGTCACCTATTATTAATAAAAACCTATTATTTTTTATTTTGGTTAGACTATTTTCTTTCCCCTTGATAATCAGGGACAGTCTTGAAGGAAAATTCTTTTCTCGTATGTTATGTTATGTTTCTATCAATGTGTCAAGTGTGAGAAGAAATCGCAGGTGAAGGGCTAATTAGGCGTGATCATCACTGCATGACCTGCTGTGGATCATCTTGCATGTACTGATCTTCTTATAGAGAAAGATCCATCATCTGAATGAGTTTGTCACACGCTTAGGTTACTCATTTTTATTTAAATATAATTTTTGTATATTGTAATTGAAAAAAATATAATTTTGGTTTTCAATGTAGTTAATATTAATTTCTGATTAAAGTAAGATACCTTCATATATCAGAACAAACAAAAATATACCTAGTAATGAACATAGGTAATCAAACGCAGTTATATAAATACGTAATTAACTATGCTCATTACTAGGTGTATATTTCCAGTTCTGGTGTTTGTTAGTTCATTGGAAACATCCTGGATGGCTAAATATATTTCAGAGTTAAGAATATTTGAGTTACAAATTACCTTGATATATATATATACCTGTTATGTAGCTAGGTGTTTGAAGTAGTTTTAATCAAAATTTTGAAAAATAGATGAGAATTTCTAGTTCTATAAGTGAGTAGAAAATTTACTTCTTGTAACTGGAAAGTACTGTGATTGGATAAACAGATACAAGTTTTAAGTAACTTGAAATGCCTCTGTTTTTACCTGTTAAGCTAGCTGTAACTAGAAAAAGAAACAAAAAAAGGATATAAAAGCACATGGGAAATAAAAAGTTTGTATTATTTGTAGAGGATGAAGATGGCTAGGAAATCATAATAAAAATAACATGTATTTCTATGGTAACAGTCAATACGTTTGTGAATTGGATTTGGTACAAAGATACTTTCCTCCAGGTCCCAAGCAGGGATAAAGACAGTTTTCAGTGGGATTGTGTGGCACAGACATGTTACATTCGCCTGCAAATGTTGGCCTCTTTAATATTTCTTTTTTATGTAAATTGGTCAAAACAAGGCTAATCTGTTGACCAAAACCCCTAAAATTGTGGGTTTATTGAAACTTTTGACCCCCTAAAATGATAAAAAATGGGCATATGCCACATTTTTGTATGTGTGTATATATGGGACCTCTAAAAAAGTATCTTTGTACCAAATCCCATGTAAATTGGCCTAAATATAGTGGAGTAATTGTCAAAAAACATAAAATTATGCTTTTTGTGGCATCTTGACCTCCTATAATCACTAAAAATGGACAAATCCACTATTTTAGTTTGTCAGTGTGTGAGGCCTATAGAAAAATATCTTCATACCTAATTCCTTCTAAATTAGTAAAAATATGGCCAAGTAATTGATCAAAATTATGTTGTTGTTTTTTGTGAGCTCTGACCCTCCTAAAAAAAGACTCAAAATGGGCAAATCCAACTTATTTTTTGTGATGGGTGCATGAAAATGTACACTTGTGTCAATTTTCCTCTTGATTGCTATAAATACGACCACAAAGGAGACCAAAATATATAATTTTGGGTTGTTTTACCTTTGGCTTCATAAAATTCTTAAAAAAAAAGCCTAAACCAAAAAAATGAAAAAGGCTTGTGGACGTATTGGTCCAAGGTATAAGCCTATTAATTTTCAAGTCAGTCTACTGAGAAATGAAGGAATGGTGGTAGATAGGATGAAAAGTGTTTGGAAGAAGAAGAAACAAAGGAAAAACAGTATATTTCTGCAGAGAGACATAAAACCAGTTTCAGCAGAGAGACATAAAACAAGATGTTGTGAAAGGATACAGTTGTAGGGCTTTGTAAGATATTATCTGTAACAAGGTTTAAAAGTAGGGTAAACAAAATAATGTGATTGATAGTAGGTATGTTTTTCACATTTATATTATTATATTTAAATAATCAGTTAATCAAAATTATGATTAAATCTCTTAATGTGACATAACTAATCAAAATTTGGGTATTTGATTATACCAATTATCCAAGTAATCAAAATATTGTCATTGTGATTTTTCCTTTATTATTTTCAATTACTTCAAGGTTGTGCAGCTTAAGTAATCAATTAATGTCATGACTCATGAAAATAACTAATCAAAATTAGTGTTTCTAATTATTACTATATTTGATTATTCCAGTTCTCCAAGTTTCATAGGAGAACAGTCGATTAATTGAATATAATCAATTAGCAAGTTCCAATAATTGCCCATCTCTACTTCCAACTAACAATGTTATAACCATTCTTGAGTGATGTTAAATCCACAAAGAGCAAGAGAACGTACAGTATTATTAATCTAGCATCTCATCTAACATAACTATACCAAGTGTGTGCGACTATGGTGTTGTGATGGAATTCTGTGATTAGCATTTGGAGTGGATTTAAGAATGATGTACAGTTGATCTTGTGTATAAATATGTGTGAGAGAGTAATTAACTCCCAATCTGTAACCAATATTTAAAAAGATTTAGAAGAGAAATCCACCATTACAACCTCAACAAAATATTTGTTGAACCAACCATTTACAATAGCCTCAGCACTAGGTTATTGGTTCTCAAACGTTTTCGTCTGCAGACCACTATGGCGAGGCAAAAGACCACATGGACCATCTGCCGGTCCTACCCCACCCACTTTCACTTGTCACTCATCAGATTTAATGGGAAGAATTGAACTTTTGATGTGACTTGCATTTTGGACCAGCCCAAGGACCACACTTTGAGAACCACTGCACTAGGTTCTATTAGAGTGTCACTGTTTTTCATTGTTAACTGCATCAAAAAATATGTATTATGAAATTACAAAATCAAACTACAAATTTATTCAGTTCACCATAATTATATAGCTGAAACTTTATAATTTGAGGACTTTATATTGAATATTTTACAGTTTCAAAGTTTGTTTCTCTCTAGCTACTTAATAAAAAGTAGATGTTTAATATTTTTTGTCATTTTATAATCCAGTTTATCCTGATAATGACAGTGCATATAATGTGTATATTTCATACCTTATTTACCTCAGTTTGAAACTATAACATGATAATCTAATTCTACACTTGCTAGACCATATGTGGAAATTACGTTGTTTGTAAACCATGCTAAAAGTTGACACTAGGATGGAAACTAGCCCTGAGAAAAATATATTTGCATTAAATATATAAATTGGAAATAAAGTTACATTTTCTTTCATGTTAATTTTTGTATGTACCTGTGTACTGTATATGCAAAGTGTAATTTTTTTTATATTAAATATATAGGGTAATTTTGATGTACATTTAGAGCTTGAAGTTAGGTGGAATGATATCCCACTTATTTCAGGAGGGCCTGAAACCATCCCACTAACTTTTAGTAGACTTGAAACCACCCTGGTACTTTTACAGTTGCTTAGGGCTATGTCAAATATCTTAGCCTTTTCCTCGTTCTTCCTTTTGCACCGGTACTGGTGGCAAGATGTGAGACAAGGCAGCAAGGAAACAAAGTGCAACATGCGGAGTTACACAAGTTTTTCCCACTCCCACTTTCCGTAAACAGTCTAATTCACTAATCCATCACCCTGAACAGTAGTCACGACTGTAATCTCCTCAGAAGGAAAAGGTGCAATAGACGATGCAATAAATATTTACAACAGTAAGGGACTGAGAAGGGAAACTATGTTTTTTTTATTTATTTTAAAATGTCAGGTAAGAGCAAGGCAGGAAAGAGACAAAGTAGTACATGGATGGAGCAAATGAACTCTCTTGCTACAAGATCAGTTGGTGCGATCGAGTTCGTAACCACAAAGTAACCATCACAGTTTCCATACTATAACTTATAATACAGTATGTGTATCTTTACTAAACTTGGCAAGCTTTCAATAAACATTACAAGTCTTTTGTGCACAAAAAATCAATTTTTTAATTAATTATTTTTACTAAAAATTTGTCCGTGAATATATGGAGTCAAGGTGTTGACTGCTCCAAGTGTAAAGCGATTTTCATGTTCAGATGGAAAATACTTTTCTTCATCTGAAAATTGTCAAATTTCACTTAGGTAATCTCCAAAACTGCCTAAATAGATATCAAACATTTTTTTTTACATGTTCATCAACTTGGTTGGTCTTTCATTTCAACCTTTTAAGCCACGATTGGAAACAACCACCAACATGTTGAATACACTTTTTATTCTGCCACTATAATAAAAAAAATGTGTGATTATATGATTATTATAAATTCTGTTACAGCAACATGGAATTTTAGAATTACATTTCTGTGTTTCTTGTTGGTTGAAACCGATGTTTAATAGCTTGGTGACGTTTGATGCGTATGTTGTAAAGTAGATTGTGTGGAAAATAAATAATTTATTCTTAAACAGTTAACGCAAGCATTTGTTCCAGTTATCTAAAATAATTTCTGTAATAAAAAATATATTTTCCAGTTGTAAATAATGCAATTTTTAAATATGTTTTATCATTTACTTAAACTAATTTTGGAAACTTGGGATTATTTGGTGTATAGATCAGTTTTAGCTGAACCGTATGAAACTGTTTAATAATATGAGTGCTTTAATGTTTTATATTTGAGTATTTAGATGTAAACAATGACATTTATTCTCTGAATATTTCCTTTTTAGAACCTGGGGACAAAAAACAGTATAAGAACAGAAAATTGGCAGATTTCATTGGAGGCTAAATAAAAGTCTTTGACAAGTTTTGCCGCTACAATCCATCAAACTCCGTTTTACCATTTTGCTGAAGTACTGGAAAATAAAGTATCCAGAAAACTGATTAGGTGATAAGATAATACTGCTGAATTCTTACTGTATTTTTTAAGTACCATATTTGTTTCCATAAATGCATCTTACTTAGATGAGAATTTAGGGATCAATTTAAGTTACACTTTTGCCTTTTATACCCTTTCTTATGGATAATAACATTCACCACCTATTGTGAATTTTTTTAGTTGAATTTTATCTTGAAGTCACTGATGTTACAGTAATAACACAACAGGATATTTAGTTACAGCCTTAATATCTACTGAATTGTGCATTTTTTAGTTGAATTTTATCTTGAAGTCACTGATGTTACAGTAATAACACAACAGGATATTTAGTTACAGCCTTAATATCTACTGAATTGTGCATTTTTTAGTTGAATTTTATCTTGAAGTCACTGATGTTACAGTAATAACATGACAGGATATTTATTTACAGTCTTAATATCTACTGAATTGTGCATTTTTTAGTTGAATCTACTTTTGAAGCAACTGGAAGTGCAGAAACAACATTGGTGAATCTTTAGTTACAGTGAATATAATTATATGTAAGGGTAGTGTATTAGAGTTGCGTTTTTATCTGGAATACACGTTTGTTTATGTAAGGAAGTTACATGCCCGTGTGTACTTGTATATGCAGGGATGGGATAAGAATTGGCCACCACTTGGTAGGTTTTTTCTGCTTCTATTGTACTAATTGGCATTCTCCCAATTACTTCAAATCTGATGAAAAAAAATGTTACAGAGGTGATGGGGTCTGAGACAAAAATACTACTTGTAGTAGGCTTGATCTGAATTTGCATTGTCTGCTTTGATATGTAGGCTCCTCTTAACTAGCTGACTAATGGACAGCCATCCAGTGCAAGAGGTCTTTTTGAAGCCAAAACTATCCAATCATTTTTGAAATGCATGATCTCCTTAAAGTGAAATGGCAGACAATCAAAAAATAATCAGCATAGAGGTAGGCTTTAAACCTCTCACTATCCACCTTATTGGTGTGCACTTTTCACCCATATATTTAGAATACATATTTTTCTTTCATCAGACATTACTTTTATGTGTGAAGTCATTTAGATGGAGCCTCATTTGGACAGGGATCTAATGTATTATTTGCTGTTACATTATCATGTCCAAATACTTATTGAAAGAATGGTTGTAACAATGTATACACATTCTAGAGTACATCAATTTGCTTTAGAATCGAAAAAAAAAGGCTATAGTGGGATAGGCAGAGATTCATGCAGGAACATACATCATATTCAGTATCTGCCTTTTAAAAGACTCAATTTGTAAATGATTGGTCAGTAATATGCCCTAGTGGAAACTTATTTGTCCAAGTATTGTCTCATTATTTCATGAAATGACCAGTTTGTATTTTAACTGGTCTGTGATATTGATCTTTGGAACATGAGTAAAAGTGGGCAACGTCCATCAGTAAATAATGTTCATATCTAATACCACAGAGACCATGCATGTGTAGTCTTCTTTATGGGCTAGGGTCCAGGATTAGCTAAACATTTCATTTGATGTTCTAATCCTTGTATGCATATACGTAGGTGTATGGGTGCATGTATGTATGTAGTTACAACAGAAATGTTTTAGCTAATGTATTAAAAAACAATATAAAAATGAAATGTATATAATAAAACAGTTGAATCATTCTTTCTGGGGTATTGTTTATAATTTTAAAGATTGTTCATCAAATCATCTGTAATTTAAAATCATAACACAAATGAGAAAAAAAAGAGAATAGGCAGATTATACTTTGTGAAAAAATTGTATACAGAACAGCACATCTTTTTGTACATATTGTTTCACATTGGGCATTAATTAAACACTTTTCTCAAGTTAAAATTCATTCACAGTTTTCTTTATATAAAGACTGTTTTTTTAACAGTGGGGGAAAAAGAGAGAGGTACATTTGTCTGTTGTTTTAACGTGTACCCAAATTTGTCATTTAATATATAATTTCAATGTGGATTAATTTTAAAACTATTCAAAACAAACCTTTGTATAATTTTTACCATATTGGAGTCTAAATGTTTTTTTCCTATTTTGTTTCTGGGTACCAAACAAATTTTTAAATATTATATTTAAATGCTGACATTTTAAATCTAGTTGTTTTTCTAGAATTTTGTCTTTCTTTTTCAATTCTTGTGAAAGCAAACAATGAACAAAAGTTGGTATATGGTGTAGAAATAGAGCTGCCATCTATTTTTGTGACTTAATACTATAGAAAATGTCTAATCTAAAATATTTTCTAAAACAGTCAATTTGAGCAATGAAAAGGCTTAACAGTTTCTTTTTTTTTACTCTTTTGTAAGTACACTTTAAACATATTGTTACAACAATGAAAGTCGTGCGATGCTGGGAGCATGTGTGCTGCAGTTTCTAGAAGGATCATGACTTCTCGGGGAACCTTGCGAATGTCCCAGTGTTTGCTAGACGCCCTCTTTTTTAGTATATAAGCCAGCTGTAGATAGATTGAACATAGAGATAATTGAGTCAAGCAAACAGTAGGCACCATAAGTAAAGTGCGTGAATCACTGTGATTT